GAAAAAAAAAAAAGGGTGATGGCGTCCAACAATATGGTCCTACTCGTTTTTATCCCACTCCTCCTCCACCTGATTCTGGCGGCAGAATCTAAGCTCAGCCCCGACTACTACCAGAAGACTTGCCCCCAATTCTCTCAGATCGTCCAGCAGGTCGTGGCCGACAAGCAGCTCGCCATCCCCACCACCGCCGCCGGCACCCTCCGCGTCTTCTTCCACGACTGCATTGTCGGCGGCTGCGACGCCTCCCTCCTCGTCTCTTCCTCTCCCTTCAACACCGCCGAGCGCGACAACTCCATCAACCAGGCCCTCCCCGGGGACGCCTTCGACCTCATCACCCGCACCAAGACCCGCCTCGAGCTCGCCTGCCCCGGCATCGTCTCGTGCGCGGACATCCTCGCCGAGGCCACTCGCGACCTCGTCTCCATGGTCGGGGGCCCTTACTACCCCGTCCGCCTCGGCCGCAAGGACAGCCTCGACTCCCGCGCCGCCGACGTCCCCGGCCACGTCGCCCTTCCCAACATGACCATCTCTGCCATCATCGCCATGTTCGAGGCCAAGGGGTTCACCGTCCAGGAGATGGTGGCGCTCACGGGGGCCCACACCATCGGCTTCTCCCACTGCTCCGAGTTTGCCGAGCGGATACTCGACGGGCACGACGACCCGAGCATGAACCCGGAGTATGCGCGCGGGCTCAGGAAGCTGTGCGCGGGGTACCGTGCCGACCCGACCATCGCGGCATTCAATGACCCGATGAGCCCCGGGAGGTTCGACAACACGTACTTTGTGAACCTGCAGAGAGGGATGGGGCTGCTGGCGAGCGACCAGGCCATGGCCACCGACCCGAGGACGAAGCCGTTCGTCGACCTCTACGCTAGAGATGAGAAGGCGTTCTACAAGGCGTTTGCACACGCCATGGAGAAGGTGAGCGTGCACAACGTGAAGACGGGGAAGAAGGGGGAGGTCAGGCGCAGGTGCGACGCCTTCAATTCCATGCACATCTGAGCTTGCTTAATTATATTAAGAAGGATTCGTTGGGTGTTTGCCTATGGTGATTGACTTTATGGTGATTGATTTTATTAGTGTTGGAGAGGGGAAAAAAATTAAGAAATTATGAAATAAAAATAATAATATGGGTTGATTTACGTACTTGTGTGATGACATTGATGTATTGTGGATTGGTATTTTTTTATTTTTTTTTTTATTTTTATTTTTTAAAGTTGTGTTTGAACATTGAATTGCATGTCTTGGTACGTAGATATGTGTAATTGATTTTACTTTCTCATTATAATATAATATTCTTTGTGTTTTATTTTTTTTTAAACATAATTCATTAAATAAACATATAATTACAAATAGTTAATTGGCCGACCGAAACCAGCTAAAAAAGCTGACTATAGAGACCAACACGACGAGATTGTAGCTTAGAGAACACAAAAAACTAAACAAAAACAAAAACAAAAACAAAAAAACAAAACAAAATAAAAGCTCCAACAAAGGCTTAAAACTCTCACGAAATGATTCCGTGATGAGATAGTAGCCTTCTATGTACGTAAAACTGTATCAAAAGCAGATTATTCAACAAAATATAATAATTTTACATAATTGATATTTCCGTATGGAAGAGAATTAATATAAATCATGAAGTCGAATGACAGTTTGATACACATGAACGATTTATGAAATTTCTAAGAAAATTCATTGACGTGCTCACAACAAATGTTAATAAGAATCGGAATAATTTAGAAAAAAATAGATTCATTACCTAGAAATCGAAGATGTGTGTCAAAGAAAGCCCGTGAAACAAATAATTTGACAAAATCGCAAAATATAGTCATTATCTTTTAACGGTGGCAATAATAGCTAGTAACTCTTAAAATTACGGTTTATTACTTAAATCTAATAGCTAGTAACTCTTAAAATTACGGTTTATTACTTAAATCCGGCCAAACTCGACGGAATTGTGTTGAAATTTGCACACACGGATGAAGTGGACTCCATGTAGCTAACACAATCAAACTCAGGCCAACCTAGTACATAAACTTCGGCCACACACGTCTTTCTTTCGAAAAGGGGAAAATGGGGCAAAAAAATAGTAGAAATTCAATTAAGCTTCTTGTTTGTGTGAAGCAGTTCAATTTATGGCGTCAAGATTGAAGCTTGAACTAGATGTCTAACAACACCAGGCATCCATATTGTTGTTGTATACTAAAAGCTGAATTCCGAACTCTCCCAATAGTGGAAGAAGATTTTTCTCGTACCTCTATTGGAAACCATAAAATATTCGAAGTTCACGAACTCAGAAAGATGACATAATCTACATTGAATAGAGCATACCAAGATACATTTAAAAGAGTTTATTAGTTTCCTCAGATTTCATAGTCTTTTTTTTTCGAAACAATAGATTATATTCAGCAAAAAGATGATTACAAGATAAAGTCCGAATGCTATAGCTAGACAGAACCGGTGGAAATCTAAGAGGAGCGCGAAAGATCAAATCTAATTATTTTGGCTTCCATAATTTTATTGAATTTGCGTTGTTTTTGCGCAACACACGACTCAAAAATTTCATCTTCCATTTCCAGTATTACCTGGCTCCACACAGACCACGACATCCCCATTTAATTACACAAAACTCTATCAAATGAGAAGTTTGATTTACAACACAAGGAAATCCTTTTCAAGGCAGACTTTGGAAAAAAAAAAAGGGAAAAATATTGGAAAGGTTGATATTGTTACACTACAATCGGTACGACAAATTCAGTCCATCCCACAAGGCTTCCTTTTGTCGACCTTTAGACGAAGATTGAACCATTTCTTCTTCTTAGACCTGTCCCTAGAATACTTATTCTCCCTCATGAGGCCGTCGTCACTTTCCTTGAACGTGGCCTTGTTCTTGCTTCTACAACTGCTACGCTTTATTCGTGGGGTAGTTGTGTAGGAAGCATGGACATCATTCCTCTCCTTGAGCAGCTCATCAATCTGGTTAAAAATAACAATTCTAGAGTAAGTTGGTTCGAAGATGAAAAGGATGATCAACAAAAACTACCTGAGGGTCGGGAGTAATAATAAAGAAACCCATTGATGACAGAAATTTCAAAATCACAAGAAAATGTTTGAGGTTCAATTTTGCCTTATATTTAAAAGGCAGGTGTAATTTTGCCTCGAGTAAAAGGGGAACTAATAGATGGAATTGAATATATCATGTATTTTATGCAATTGTTGCTATCTTATAAATAGCAACAATTGCATAAAATACATGATATATTCAATTCCATCTATTAGTTCCTCCCTTTTCCTATCAGGCGGTTCTTCAGGTTAACAGAAAGGATATTAAGTCCACCCCAGAGGTTCAGCTCAAGTACTAATAGAAAGACTAAACTGAACAATAGCACCTCCTATGTGTTCATCTACCCAACAAATATCTTTACTTGAGGGCCCATATTTAAAAATCGAAGCGACAGAACATCTTGTATTTTTCGCTAGTAAATCATTAATTTTTTATCCCTTTCGCTAATTAAACACTTTAATATAAAGGTTATTTTTTTGTAATCAACTCAGAATTGAAATCTGTTTCAATGCAAGACTTCTTTCTGGATAAGAATTACTAGCGAAAACTTACAGCTTGCATTTCCTGTGAATATCTGTTAGTCATCTCGGTAAATTGAGCGAGAACCTGTAGACGAATAGACGATCCATATGGAAATGAGGAAAAAAAAAATAAAAAAATCACATATGTTCACAAACATTTCTTTGCTAGAACACAGACCTCTCTATATTCAGTTTCAAATTTAGAAAGTTCAGCCCTTTTTGACAAAATTTGAGCTTCCACAGATCTAAGATCCTCTTTCTCCTCCAAAAAAGGTGCAGCAGAAAGAACTTCTATGGTGTAGCTTACGTTTCTAAAAAAATTGTCTCCTGCAGGAACACCAATATAAGCCCATAGGAGGACAGCAATGGTTAGCCACTATCCCAGCATAAACTAATCTATCCCTGAACTTTAACTTCTCTTCCAGAAGCCATGCTATTTGAAAATAACAAATACTTCCGCAATAATTATTCAAATTACTATATGTAAAAAATTTGACACGTGAAGGGGGCATATGTGATTATGTTAGAGCAGGGTGTTGATTGTTATTTTCTAACAGATATATGCAAAAAAATTTATAAGAAATGTAGTTACCATAAACTGCAAAATAGTGAATGCCAGCTTTCAGTTCATTAATTTCACAAGGCTGAAACCCATCTAGCATTTTGAAAAAAGCAGCATCTGGATCTTTTGCAGCTGCCGTCTGTGGATCAGTATAAACGAGAAAATGGAAACTAATCACATAATTTGATGATTATATAATAATGAAAAAGGGGGAGAGTATCAAGATTACTTACAGAGCTATGAGCAGGGTCCATCCGGTAAACAGGGAATCCAAGAAAATACATCCCAGCAGATGTAACCTTCCCAGCTTTCGAACTATCCTCCTATAGATAAGAAAGTACTGTAATTTAATGGCAATAGGTGAAGACGCATAAGCCACGTTTATAAAGAAAATATTATTTAAGATACCATAGGGGAACATTCACAACAATAATAAGCATACCAAGAACAAGTTGGGAATAAGAAAAAGTCAGTAGCAGCCTACAGAGATAGGGTGCAAGGACACAAGTTTTTTTGTGGTATATTGTGTCGGCACGAAATAATGAATGAAGGAATAATTAATAATGTAAGAATATTTGCTCTGCCTATTGATATTTAGGACCGGACAGAAGGAAAGCTAGATAATGGAAATAGAGAGCCAACCTGTATAGAAAGATTTAATCCACCATTATCTTCCTTATCGAAGTATAATAGCTGCACACACCCAACAAGGGTTAACTGAAGCATTAGGAAGCATATTGTACAGCCAAAATACAATTAAAAAACTCAATACTGCCAGATAATTTGGCAGAGAGGTATATTATCTTTTCTAGAAAGCAAATAAAAAAAAAAATCTACGATACAATACAATTGTTTTGTAATTCGAATTAACCTAATTTTGGCTAGTCGACAATGACTTACAAGTTACTTTATCAACTAACCAATATAGTGCAAAAAAGATAATCCCCCAGTAATCATAGTCATGTAGCATGCATGAAAATAATACATTACTTAGACAACATTATATTTGTCCTTGTTGAGTCCTCTGTTTGCACGTGAAAGTCAGTTCAACGGGATGACTTATCGAATTGCAGGAAACAGCTAAAAAAGTTAAAGAAAAAAATGGCCACAATTTGTAATATCCGGAGATCGGTGAGAAGCTCGAGCTAACAAATAGCACCTAATTTGTGCATATATAATTAGTTCTTTATAATCTAGAAATCTTGTTCATTCCTATCACCGCCACTGAATGCAGGCAATGATAAATTTTCAGTTTTTCTTAAACAATTAAGTAGTGCAAATTTGGGAATATATGTTTTTCAACTTTTACTATAGTAACAGAAAGAAAGTAAAACTAGAAGTATGGAGATTGGATTCTGTTGATGAGAATGTAGAAGATATCAGCTTCCCAGTCCATCAGATTTTAATTTTTCTCTTTTCAAAAGAGTGTTGCCAATGGCAGATGACAGATGACAGCAGGCTAAAATCCCACCGTGGCGGACTATGGCGCCGCCGTCCTTCCCAAATTTAGCATGGCGGTTTGGCAGAAATCTGCCACGCCATGGCCGCCATTTGATAGCACTTTTTCAAAATCATCTCGTATTTAGTTTAAAACATTTTCCACATGAACAAAACATTGGTTGTAGGAAATGGTGAACTGGAGAGAGCAGTGGGGTTCTCACCATTAACGTGGTGAACATTCGTGTGATTTGGATTCACAGTCCATTTATTCATCACCTTATGGCATAAATTTTTAAATGTCAACATTTTAAGACTGGAGATGCTCTTAGTAAGTAATGCAGTTCCTCTGTGCAAAATCCCCAAGCTATCATGCCCCAAATAAGAGGTCACCAACCAATAGACAGAAATACAATTCCACATCCATTCTGGGAGTTGTTATTCTTTACGAGCCAGAATAGAAGACTCAGTATAAAGTCATCAACCTCTCTCGAATATGCATACCTTAAACTTGCTTTTGTCGGACGAATAAACTCTGCATACAACTCCAGCATGTGCATCCTCTTCTGATACAATAACTGAATAGAAGTGGGCACTCTGCTTATCCACCTATTACAGAGCATGAAAAATTTGTCTAAATCTGCCATATGTTAGACAATCGCATGCTAAGAGCATAGGCTCAAACTTTTATTCCCTACCTTAACATGACAAAATAAATCTACCATATGTTGGAAAACCGCATATATATAGCATAGGCTCAAACTTTTACCTTCCTACACAGAGGTTGCCCAAATGGGAGCTCACGAACTGTCACAGAACCATTTAATGCTTCCTCCAAGACAGTGGCTGAAACTGTAGTTTTTATTGGGACTCCAAGCTTGCTGATTGTTAAGACATAGTAAACTTATTTTATGGTCTATGACTACTCTGGCAAAATCAATCAATCAATCAATCAAGAAGCCATTAAAAATCACACTAATTGGGGTCGGCTATATGGATCACATGTCCCATCGGCCATCATACTCGATCAAAGTATATATCCTCATTCAAATTTGAATATTTTAAATCATTCTTTATTGTCTCCTTCCAAGATTTCTTAGGTCTACCACTCCCCCATTTAATTTGTGTTCTTAATTCTAATGTTTCTACCCTTCTCACCGCACATGCCCATACCATCTTAATCATGATTCTCCCATTTTCTCCTCTATGGGTGCTACTCCAACTTTATATCTAATAATTTCATTTCTAATTTTATCTAACCTAGTATGACCACACACACATCCATCTCAACAATCTCATCTCTGCCACTCGCATTTTTTGATCATTTTTATATTTAGTAGCCCAACACTCGGATCCATAAAGCATTGTCAGTCGAATGGCCGTACAAGAAAAGGTACTGAAAAGTATTGCGGACCAACCTAAAGATTGCAGCAAACATAGTATTGACAGTTCCTAAACTTGAAAGATCAAGTTCCAGTTCCTGGCTTTCAGATTCAACAGCCTGACAAAAGATTTATGTTCAAGTTTGCAACCATGCAAAAATAATCTGAAGACAGTTGGTAAGCTACATTAATAATAATTAAAAAAAAAAAAAAAGCCAAACATTGACCTCAAAACCAGCCGCATCATATTGCCGTCTTTTATCTGGATCAGACAAAATGTTATACGAGAAGGTGACCTCTTTGAACATATCTGTGGCGTTAGTGTCATTTGCATTTTTGTCAGGATGATACCTGAAATTATGTAAAATAAGGATTAGCAACAAACAAAAATACCCTTTTACAACGTGCTCGTGCACAGACACATATTTGTAGACACAACACAAAGAAGGACCCCGATGAAGTTTGCTACTTGCAGAACCATATCAATATAAGAGAGCTATGAACAAATAGAGAAAGATTACAGAATTTATTATTTTTGTTGTTTAAGACAAGCTGTTCAAATCGACTCAACCTTCAACTTACAATTGTCGGTTCTTATTGTATGCCAATAGCTAAACCAAGACAGCTTGCACACTTCCCCACTAAAGTTTGTCAGAAACAAGATAACTATGTTTCTATTTCCAACAAGAGGAACAAAGTCTACAAACTAGGAAGGTACCAAAGCGAAGCTGCAATAAACTAGAGACGCGACCTATATTTTCTTTCCTTCGGAATCAGCTAAACATTTTATTTCTACATTCTTCCGCTCCCGTTCTACAGCTAAACTACGCAAAATCAAAATCAAAACCTGTAAAAAGAAATGCTTTCACAATGTGGTACTTCAAAACCATCAACTTTAGTCCTAAAACCACTTAAACAGAGCAAAATTTATCAAATTGAAATAAAATAATCAAAAAAACTTCAAATCCACTATTTTCCATCTCTCATCACACATTGATATCATCGTCAGAAGATAACTAGTGCTAAGATAGCAATCAAACTGAAAACTAAATAAGGCTTACTTCAGTGCCAATTTCCGATAGGCGCTCTTAATCTCTACATCGGTAGAATTCCTGTTCACTCCCAACACCTCATAAGGGTCCCTCCGCAGCTGCTTCTCCGAGTCCCCTTTCTCTGCATTCGATTTATGCCCCGGCATTTTCATTATTTACAAATTCCACCCCGTGAAAAGAAATTTCCAACAGCAGGGACACGGGTAGAGGTCGAATCTGAAAGATAAATCACATAATCCTTCGTTCCGCTGAGGAATGTCGGACAAATTTCATAGCTACAAATAGGATTTTGGAGCTGCAACAACAATGTCAGAAAACCCTAGCAAATTGGCACCAAATGAGGTCGGAATCACACAATGTCTCTGCCAAAAATGGACGGAATTTATGAATCTTTCTCCGGCGCAATACTGAGAAAGAACAAACTGGAAAACCCTAAGGCTATGTTTGGTTCAACTGAGGGGAGGGGAGGGGAGGGATTTTAATGGAAGGAAGGGGAGGGGAGGGAAGGTGATGTAAAGTAATTTTACCTTGTTTGGAGGGATTTTATAGTAGGGGAGGGGAGGGAAAATAGTAAATCTTGTTTGGTAAGAAAATGAAAGGGGAGAGAAAATAATGTTAAAATAACAAATATATCCTTAATGATGTTATAAATAAAAACTTACATATTATGTAATAAGGGTAATATTGTAATATAATGTATTAAAATTTTCCCTCCCCTCCAAATTCCCCCACTTTTGGAGGGGAGCAAAAATGGGGAGGGGAGGGAATTTTAACTTAAAATTTTCCTTCCCCTCCTACCCCAAATTTCCAACCAAACAAGGGGAAAGTAAAAAATGTCCTCCCCTCCCCTCCCCTCCCCTCCTTTTTCTCCCAACCAAACAACCCCTAAGAGAAATTAGTTGTCATGTTGTGCGTTGTTTTTTCCCTTTTCGAGTTCTTTTGGGTTTTTTTTTTAAATTTATATTATATGGGGGGCCTTGTTAAAAATTCAAATTTATTGAGGTCCCTGTTTTCCTGAGTTTTCGTTTGTCGCCATTTGTTACCTTCGTGGATGTGTTTGAAAGATGTTACGGTCTCGTTACGGAATTATTCCGTTGAAATTTGTAACCATTAGGTTAACTATCTCTGACGATTACATGATTGATTTAATGATTACAAATCCCGAGGGATGATTCCGTAACGAGACCTTAACATTTCTCTAGTGGCTTATTCTACTCTATTTAACTTTTAAATGTAATTGTTAGGTGAGAGGTTATGGAGTGAAATGAACTGGATGAGATGCATTGGCATAATTGGCATCTAAAAGGTGACGCATTTAAATCGCAGTGGAGTGATCGAGTGAGTTTGAGTATGAAATTTCACCTCTTAAATGAGTTGTCATTTTGATGTCTAATTATATCATAATCATGAGTTTATTTTAGCCTTAACTGGACGATTTTGGCCCCTTTATAAACTAATAATATGGTGTTATTGAGTTTCCCATAAGAGACGTGATTTGAGTAAAACAAGGAATTATAAATTAACTTTTTCTATACTAATAATGGAAATTAAAATATTCTCATAACTTTAAAAAGTGATCAAAAGTAGGATTTTTTGTCCTCGGATTTATGATTTCCGGTCAGAAGCCACTCGCTCACAGGCGATTTTTTTTTTATTTTTTTTTTACAATCTGTCGCCTCACATTCGACGTGGTTGTGTACACCTGCAAATAAAACTGGCAAACTCACAATTGTTCTCCCTAGTGCTGTTAAATTAAACGAGTCTGGCTCGGCTCGGCTCGAGCTCGGCTCGTTAAGGCTCGGTTCGGCTCGAGTTCGAAGCCTTAACGAGCCGAGCTCGAGCTCATTTAAAGCTCGTTTGGTTCACGAGCCGATCTCGGCTCGGCTCGATAAGGCTCGTTAAGGCTCGAAAACTGAAAATTATGTAATTTTTTATAGTTCGACTCGTTAAAGCTCGAGATCGGCTCGTTAAAGCTCGAGATCAGCTCGTTAAAGCTCGAGCTCGAGGCCTTAACGAGCCGAGCTCGAGCTCGATTTTTAACTCGATTGCTTAACGAGCCAAGCTCGGCTCGGCTCATTAAGAGCTCGAGCTCGAGCTCAAACACCTTAAGCTCGAGCTCCGCTCGACTCGTTTACATCCCTAGTTCTCCCCAAAACTAAATTTCTCGGCTCCTAATATTAAGAACCCTAATCCCCAAATTGGCCCCAAATTCACCAAATAATTTTGTTTTGATCGAAAGCACAATTGAGCATAAGGCTGAACGCAAATGGAATTCATGCGTCAAAAATTGCACCTAAAGTTGCCTCCTCCCATTAATCGTAAGTTTTCTTTTGTGTTTATTTCGGTTTTGTTTATAGGTTTTTTTTGTTCCATATGTTTTTGGATTTTGACTTTCTGGTGTCTGTTTTTTTACATTTCTTTCTATTGTTTTGTATTCGTGGGTCACTTCTTTTGAAAAGATCCTTCATTTTAATTTGTTTATTGTTTTGGTTTATAAAATGTTCATGTGAGGATAGTGGGGTATTTGTTTTTTGACAACTTTTTTTTTTCAAAACTTACAGATCCTTCGTTTGATTCTTTCTCATTGGTTGTGCATTAGAATGAAAAATTATTGATCATTTTTTAGCAACAAAGTATGAAGGATGTAAGATTTTTATAGTTGATTAAGTCATCCCATTATTGTGCAGTTATATGTTGAGTGGTGCAAAAATGAAGGGGTCACTAGAGATAATAAGTTCTACATGTATGATAGTAGTGGGTTTATATTATTGTGCAGTTATAGAGACCTTTATAATTTTGTGCATGATATTCTTAGAACTAGAGAGATGCATTTATATGTTGATGTGAGGGCTCCTAATTTTATGGATCTTGTTGTTGACCCTAATGAGCATAGTGAGCCCAATGAGCCTAGTCAGTCTAATGACCTTACATTTGTTCTTGCTCATGATCTAAAGGAGAACACATTGGGCTCCATCTAGGCACCAATTGAAAAATTCATGGGTAGTGCCTTAGTAGGAAGAGGACGACTATGGATCGGAATAACTCTAATTCTAATTAACTGAATGATTCTAACTATAACATGAATCCTAAACAAGTTAGTGACGGTTTTGCTATAAAACCAACACTTGGCTTCATATTGGAGTCAACCTTCTATATACAACAAGTAAATCTACCATATTCTCCGATTAATTAAATAACACTAATACAATTTTATTAATATGGTATGGTTTACTTGCTGTATATAAAAGGTTGACTCCACTATGGAGTCAACAGTTGACTTCATAGCAAAACTGAGTTAGCGAAGTGTTAATGTATATATTTTTTATGCTTGGCTTTTTTAGTAATAAACACTGTTTTTTTTTTTTTTAATGAGAATCACGTTTAATTAAACTGATTTATGTTCTAATATTTTATATTTGGATATTGTGGTCCATCACAGATGAGATAGAAGATTGAGTATTAGTTACTTGTAAAACATAAATAATTAGTTCACAACCTAGATGAAAGTGAACAATCCATCGCGAATGATTATAGTGTCAACTCACATACTGTCTTGATTAATTTGCACTAGGGCACTGTGAGCATTAAACGGATCCCATAAAGGATAAGATTGATTTAAGCTGATCAGTAAACAATAGCTGCTATGTTGATTCACTAAAAAGTGAGATCCATTTGGATCAATTGTATGATGTGTTTTGGGTAGTGATACTGTGTGTATAGTGTGTTGTTCAATTATTTATGGTCACTGTGTGCAAAAGTTTGATGATGTCCTCGAGATGAGTCCAAGAGAGATTATTATGTTAAACCATGCAAATGGGTTGAGTTCTGACATAATAATAAAGCATTGAGTGGTACTAGTCTCAACACAATGAATCAATTAATATATTATCAGTGATTAATTAATTGACGGAATATCTTAAACATGGAAAGCTAAATAGAGTAATTATTATCAGAGCTTCGAATTGTAATTCGAGAGCTAAATGGAGAGATCAACGGTTTTTCTTGCGTGGACTGAATAGTCTTTCAAATATGAGAGTAGAGTGCTTGCCCACAGTTGGGCTCATATTTGGCACCTCCTAGTGTCCCTATTTAGCCTATAAATACACATCTCTTGGTGGTAAAAATAAGACTTGAGGGCTTTGTGAGTTAGCCACCAAAAACTAAGAATGTGTGTAAAAATAATACAATAGAAGTCCTAAGGTAAAACCAAGACTCCGTCTCTGCTGACTGCCATCGCCGCTGACCAGTCGTTGTCTGCCGCCTCGACGCAGCCTCGAAGACCCGCCTTGCCAACACCGAGTCCCACTCCAACTGGCAATCTGATCCTTCCGACGATCCATTTCTGATTCCAATGTTTTATGAGCGATCAGACGATCTCCATTAACGAAAATTAGAAACGTCTCAGAGCTTGCGAATTTTACGTCGTGAGTATTCGATATTAACTCTAGTCATGTGAGCTCAGGCTTAATCTTTTCTAGACTTTAAGATATTTGACTTGCATGAAATACAACGTTCCTAATATAACCCCAACAAGTGGTATCAGAGCACTTGTTTTTAATTCTTGCTTTATGTAAAGTTCGAATCTTTAGACTTTAATTATTATATATGCATGAATTAAATGTGTTATTGTTTTTTTTTCCGATACGATAAAAAAAAAAAACTTTATAGATAAAAAAATGCACAAATATGTAAATATACAACCCCTAGCTGAATAATACAACCAACAGCTGAAAGACTCAGATGACTTATCCGAAGACCGCCTAGAACTGACACGAAAATGCTAGAAACCCAAACACAAGACTCACGACACATCAGCGACCGTTTGATCGACGTGGCCGGCAGTGACCGCTTGAGCTTTGTGGCCGACAACGACTGTTTGAATTATGTGGCCGGCGGCGACCATATCCATGGGGTCTTCTTCAATTCCTATATTGTAGCCTACCAGGCATCTCCCAAGCTTACCTACCACATTGGGGGCTACCTGAAGGGGAGGCCATACACTCGTACATGGAGTTCCTCAAGGAGCTTGACAAATGAACAATCGAAAATGAGATTCCACCAGATTATGAATCTCGAACACGAGGGACATGAGGATGTGCGGAACAACGTCGTTTGGGTTGAGCGTGACAACTTGATTGGCTTCGGTCTAGGCTCGGCTGGCGATGGAGATGGCGTTGAGGTGGACAGAGAGGATGGCGACGATGAGGAGAGAAGAGAGATGACCTATGAGTTTCACTGGACAAACAATATTTCCAGTATATGTTACATTTATATCATTATATTTTAAGTATATGTTGTATTTTTATTTACATAGCATCATCTAACCACAATTGTGATGTTTGAATTTTGTTTATACATATTTTTTTATTTTATTTTTACTTAATTATACCTACAATCTTTGCAGCATTGATATGCAAAACATGTTATAAGCGCTTCCAGGATATAAAAAAAAAAAAAAGAAAAATGTAAATGCTAGATTATAGTTTTTTTTTTTTTTTTTTTTTT